CAACCTTTCCCGGACTTGTGGACCGAGACAGACCGGGAGGGGGTATAGGATGGGGCGGTGGGGCAGGCGGAGGGGGAGGGGGCTTCCGGCCCAGAGGCGGAGGCGATGGGGCGGGCGGTACTCGGGGGTGGGGCCGGACCGAGTGAGAGTCCGAGGCGTTGGCCGCCGGTCCCTTTGAGGTCTCCTGAGATGAGTGGGCTGGGGTTGCCCAACTGGACCAATCCGCCCTGGGCGGCCCAGAGACGGGGCCACCAAGTGGCTCCTCTTTTCTCCCTGAAGCTGGGCCAGTGGCAACACCCTGCTTCTCTTCTCTCCGGAAGCTCCGGGCAGGGTCGGTCCTGGAACTCAATCCCGGTCAGGAGGATCGTGTAACGGGGAAGACCTGAGGCTGCCAGTTTGGACTCCGGGCTCTCTTTTGGGGAGTCGGCCCTGCCTCTCAGAGGTTCCCAAGCGCAGTCGTCTCCCCTAGTTGAGCGTCGCTCACAGCTGTTTCCTCTCTAGTTCCCGTATCTGAAGACCACCACTACCCCTACCCGGCGGTGATCTTGCAGGCTTGACAGCCTTGCTGGGAAGCGGAGTATAGGGTGGAGCATTTCGCTCCAGAGGAGACCAGCATAGAAAATCATTTTAATTATACCCTGCGCCTATTTTACACTTGGAGAAACAGGCCCAGAGAGAGACAGTGACGAGCCTCCTGCAACCCCACCCTCAGCTCTGAGGTCAACCCGCCCCATGCCTCAGCGGAATAATTAAGTGCGTGTGGGATTAATGGTGACCTCCTTTGGCTTTGGCTGCCATAGCAGCAGCCACGCCAGTGAACCGAGCTCCCCTTTCAGCACTGCCTTCTGCTGGCCCTAAGGCTCCCAGGCCACTTCCCAGCCTTGCCTGGAAAAGGACAGCCTGGGACCCCAGGGCCAAGGGAGAAGGATGAGGGAGCACTTCTTCCTCAGGCCTGGAACTGGGTTCTCTCATGGAAAGGGGTGAAGAAATTCACCCTGGGGATCTGAGAAAGTCCGTGTATGTGACAACTTCTCGCAGCCAGCACATGGCTTTATTTCCTCGATCTGCAGAGTTGAAGCGGCCGACCCCCATGCCTGAGGACCCACAGGATCCTGTACCTGGAAACTCAGGCTTCACCTGCAGAAGACGAGGGACCCTGGGGAGTTCACGTTGCTGCACTGAAGCAGCCCATTTCTGTCAATTTTGGGAATGAGTCACTGATAACCACTCTGGCCTCAGTTTCCCCATTCGGCCCATCTGTCCATCTGCTTGTTGCCTCCACAGTGCATACATACATTCAACACAAATGTTTTATTTGCCTCAACTGTTTGCCTATACTATACTAATGGCTGAAAGATCTGGCAGGGCCCTGGATGTCTGTCTTCTACTGGAAGAGATAGATAAACAGATAATGAGAATACCACGTGTTAAATATAAGGGTAAATGCACAGAGGAAGGGCACCAAAACCAGGAGAAAGGGGCAGGACAGGCATTCTAGGCAGAGGGGGCAACGTGAGCAATGGCATTAAACAGCACTGTGTGTGTGTGTGTGTGTGTGTGTGTGTGTGTAGTGAGGCCAGGCTGGACAGACAGACAGAGCTCATGTAGGGAGGGCCTTGTAGGTTGTGTTGAGATGACTACATTTTAAAGTCAGAGCAATGGGGAGCCATTGAAGGCTTTTGGCATGAAAGTGATGGGATCTGCTTTGCATTTGTGCCATTTAACCAATCAACATATTTGCTGAATGCCTCCTAAAGTAGGGTACTTTCCATTCTTCATTCAGACATTAAATGACCTACTTATGGTTACTTGACTGGTAAGTGGTGGAGCTAGGATTCAAACCCTGCCTGACTTCAATCTGCACTCTTACCGTCTCTACTGAATGACCTGCTTTGCAGTATTGTGTGACCAGGCCACACAAGACCTGGACCCTGGCTTGGGGAGCTGATCAGCCAGTAGGAGGGTAGACAAATCCTGAGAAGTGCTGTGATTAAGGAGTACACAGCTCCTGGTGAGAGCCACTCCCAGAGGAGGGGCTGGAGAGACTGGGTTGAATTCTAGCAGTGTTAGCTGAATGGAAGGGTGGGGGACGGACGTTATTAGGAAGAAAGAACATCATGCACGAAAGTGAAAACGTCTTGACTTGTTAGGGGAACTGTAGGTAGTTTCTGAGTGGTCGTAATGCTTGGGGTGGGAGGCAGAGTGAGGAGAAATGCTGATAAGGAGGTAGCAGGAGCCAAAGCCATGAAGGGCCTTAAGTGCTGACCTAAGGGATTTGAAATTCCTCCTGCACATAGCACAGGGTCACTGGAGGGTTGAGTCAGGGTGTGACACTGTCCAATCTTCATTTTAAAAGCTCACTTTCATGGCTGCTGTGTGGAGAATGCAGTGATGGAGGCAAAAGAGAAAGAGATCCATTGAGTAGGAGATTGTTACAGAAATCCAGGTAGGAAGTGATGCAGCCTGAACCAGAGCAGTTGCTACGAGGATCAGAGGGCCAGATTCAAGAGATAGTGAAGAGATCGAGGTGGGGTCAAGACTTGGAGAGAATGGTTTCATTATTCACTGATTTATTCATTCAGTAAATATTTGTTACGAGTCTAGCATGTATCAGACAATGTTCTAAACACAAAGGACAAAGCCCTGAATATGACAGGAGTAGTCCCTGCCCTCATGAAGCTGGAAGAGAGAGAGGATAGGCAAGTAAACAAATGAATATGCTAACAACAGAATGTGATAGGTTCTCTAAGGGAAATAAACAACATAATGAAATAGTAACTGAGAGGGCCCATTTTAGACACAGTGTGTGTAGTAGGGAGAACCCTATCTGAAGAGGGGCTATTTCAGCTGAAACCTGAAAGATGAGAAAGGGACAGCCACACAAAGTGGGGAGGGCATTTCGTGCAGAGGAAAGAGCAGGTGCAAAGATCTGGCACAGGAAAGGGCTTGGGGTGTTCAAGGAACATTAGGGAGGCCAGTGTGATAAGCCAGTTGTGAGCTAGGAAGAGAGTGGTAGACTTGACATCACAGTGGAAGGAAAGGGAGTTGGTCTCAGGGTATGGTAAAGAGTGTGGATTGTATTCTAAAAGGAATAACGTAAGAAGTCATTGAGGACTTTTAACGAGGGCAGTGGCAAAATCTGAGTTATGTTTTTGAAAAGATCTTGCTTACTGCGGTTTAGGGGTGGATTGCAGAGGGGCCAGAGTGGAAGATGGGAATCCAGTGAAGATTAGGAGACTACTACTGTAATCCAGGGGAGACATGAGGGGCTGCTAGCTCTAGGGTGTGGGACGGGGATGGGAGGAAGTGAATAGATTAGAAATACGTTTTGGAGGCAGAAACAACCAGGTTTCAGCAGTGGCTTGGATGTGGTAGAAGAAGAAGTAATCAAGAATGTGGTGTGCGTTTTTAACTTGAGCCAAATATGCTGGTGTCATTTACTGAGATGATAAAGACAAAGAGAAAAACGGGTGTGTGTGGTATTGGGAAAGATTAAAAGCTCCGTTTTGGAGCTAGTGAATTGACATGCCTAATAGGCATCTATTTCAGGAGGTAGCATACGATCAAGAACCGATGGTATTGAAGGAAGAAGTCCAAGCTGCACTGAAGACATTGGTTAAAAATCAGGCTCCAGGAATTGACAGAACACCAATTGAGATGTTTCAACAAACAGATGCAACACTGGAAGCACTCATTCGTCTATGCCAAGCAATTTGGAAGACAGCTACCTGGCCAGCTGACTGGAAAAGATCCATATTTGTGCCCATTCCAAAGAAAGATGATCCAACAGAACATAGAAATTATCAAACAATATCATTAATATCACATGTAAGTAAAATTTTGCTGAAGATATTTCAAAAAGGGTTGCAGCAATTCATGGGCAAGAAACTGCCAGCAATTCAAGCTGGATTCAGAAGAGGACATGAAACGAGGGATATCATTGCTGATGTCAGATGGATCTTGGCTGAAAGCAGAGAATACCAGAAAGATGCTTACCTGTGTTTTATTGACTATGCAAAGGCATTCGACTGTGTGGAATGGGAATTCCAGGACACTTAATTGTGCTCATGTGGCACCTGTACGTAGACCAAGAGGCAGTCGTTCGAACAGAGCAAGGGGATATTGCATGGCTTAAAATCAAGAAAGATGTGTGTCAGTGTTGTATCCTTTCACCATACTTATTCAATCTGTATGCTGAGCAAATAATCCGAGAAACTGGACTATATGAAGAAGAATGTGACATCAGGATTGGTGGAAGACTCATTAACAACCTGCAATATGCAAATGACACAACCTTGCTTGCTGAAATCAAAGAGGACTGGAAGCACTTACTGATGAAGATCAAAGACTACACAAACTTCTGCATGGATTACACCTCAACATAAAAAAAAACAAAAATCCTCACATCATGACAAATGGAGAGCAGATCGAAGTTGTCAAGGATTTCATTTTACTTGGATCCACAATCAACGCCCATGGAAGCAGTCAAGAAATCAAAGGACGTATGGTATTGGACAAATCTGCTGCAAAAGACCTCTTTAAAGGTGTTCAAAAGGTGTTAAAAAGCAAAGATGTCACTTTGAGGACTATGGTGCACCTGACCCAAGCCATGGTGTTTTCAATTGCCTCATATGCATGAGAAAGCTGGACAATGAATAAGAAAGACGGAAGAAGAACTGATGCCTTTGACTTATGGCATTGACAAAGAATATTGAATATACCATGGACTGCCAGAAGAGTGAACAAATC